TTATCAGCTCTCATTGCCGTATAATTTCTCCAATATTGCTTTTTAAATTGTGTTTTAGTACTTCGATGTCGGATTTAGTTGACAGATCTTTATAACCTTCAAGAGGGTATAATGACTTCACTCAGAAGTTGGCAACGCAGTGAAGGAGATCAGAAAACTATGTCCTATAACATTCATAGGAATAATTGAAAACCTATTTTAAGAAAGGGTTTATAAGTTAAAGCTCTGGTTTTAATTATCATATTATCATCTACTCCTAGGAATACAATTTTTGTGTTATTTCAATGTTTGTTTTGTTTTAATGTTTTTAAAAATCGGACGACTATATATATTGCTACTACAGGAACGATTTTATCATAATTGGGAAAATAGTAGGACAAAAATATATCTTTATTAGTTTGTCATGTTGTTTTCTACTCCGGCTAAAAGCATTTCTTTGTTTTTTTTCAGAGCTAATATATGATGGACGTTGATGCACTACGAGCAGTACAAACAAGTGGTCCAACGACACCAAGCACGTGCTTGTTACGCGCGGGGCCCTTTTGTAATTTTGGTCAAAAAATGCAAGTTCGCGAGAAAGATACAAAAAACAAAAAAAAACGGGACACAAATGAAAATAAAAGAAGCAACTAAGAATGAAGCAAATGAGTTGAAATATTAGTTTTTAATACCGGGATAGAAGTTAAAGTACAAACTAAATTAAATTATTTACAAGTGTAGGTAAATTAAGCAATAGTAATCTACTCTGATAAGAAGGTAGCCTTACGTTTTGATCCCAGTTCAAACTACGAAGGGCAAAAAGAATTTTTTTGTACCGACTCAAAACGGTCAATATGCACTTGATATTGCGGACTCCAAACCGAAGAACAGTATTCCAAAATAGGACGGACAAGGGTAAATAACAATTTGGTTGAATAAGGGTCATCAAATTCTTTTGACCAACGCTTTCTAAACCCAAGAACACTCATGGCTTTGTTGACAGTGGACATTATGTGGCAGTCAAATTTAAGTTTTGGGTCCAGAAGAACACCTAAATCATTAACTGAACATATACGGTCGAGTGGCGTATTTTGAAGAGAGTAAAGCCTAGTACTCAGATCGGCTAAGAGTTTAACTAGTCGAAAAATCGTATTCTTTGTAGTGTGACCTAAGTTTTCAAAGTTCACCAGCAATGCATGTGGCATGGTTTTACTGTCAAAAACCAAAAACAAATCAATTGGAGCAATTTAAAAAGGAAGAGTCTGCTGGTGCACAAATAAATTAAAATAAAAACAAGAAAAAACGAAATAGTCGAGTGCCTCGACTATCAGATACCCGTTACTCAGCTAATGGGGCCAAAGGGAAATGGAGATATGCAAGCAGCAAAACCACATTGAAATGCGCCACCTACCGGCGGTAGACAGATTTAAGCGTTATGGGCGTTAGAGTGGGCGTGGCCAATCTATAGGTATTGACGAGACCAATACATTTCAGGTAAAATTTTTGATCTAGCTTGAAAATTGTGGTCGCCACAGGTTTGGGAGGTTTGTGGGCGTTAGAGTCGGCGTGGCAAACTTTTTTTTTGGTCAATCGGTAGGTATTGTTGGGAGCAATACATTTCAGTTAAAATTTTTATTCTAGCATCAAAACTGTAGGAGCCACAGCTTTTTGCGGTTTGTGGGCCTTAGAGTGGGCGTTGCACTCTGCTGAAACAAACTTGCGCTGCGCAGGAATCTCAGGAGAAATTTAAAAAGGAGGAGTCTGCTGGTACACAAAGAAATTTAAATAAATGGAATGTTCAACGAATGTTTTTATTTATGTACACGGACGCGTTTTATATTTGCTCCTACATTTATTCGCCTAGTGTCTAAATTACCGATCTGATATATTCCCAAAGTTTCATTTTCAAATCGGTTGAGACCGCCGTTTGCATGCAATTTAGTTATTTGAGTTAAAACCATTATCTGTATTATTATATTGGATAATAGTTAAAGACACGGGTGCTTTGTGCATTGTTGTTGTTTCTTATTTACATTGTTGTTTTGGCGCTCTCTCGCACCGTTCGCTACAGCTAGTACAACGTAACCAAATCCTTTTGGCCAGATTTTACTTTCTTTGCGAGGACGCGCCCGGCACGATGTTCATGTAGGGAGCGAAGTCCCACTCGACGTGTTTCTTCACACTGGGATTCCCTAGCGGATCTCTTGCAGCACTTCAACTATTCTGCGAATTTGCCCCTTTTGTGGAATTGCTTCCTGTCGTTGAAATCCCAAAATAAAGGGCATAAGCTTGGATTTGGCGTCCTATTGCATCTGCACTGACTTCCTGCATCCGATTTTGGGGGTTTCCTTCCACTTTTAATTTTTAGTTTCCACATCGCCTTTGCACGAACACCGCCAAAGATTAAATTTCTTATTCTTTGGGCCGCGGCTAACGACGTTCATCGAAAATTCACTCCCGAAATCTGGTATTTTTTCTGGTATTTCCTTAGCTCATCTGAGTAACGCGCTGAAAAAACAGACCCGACGAAAAGCGTTAGCCGCGTACTGGCCTCTCACTTACTCCTATGGTTAGCTCGCGGATTTCGTGGATCTGAGTACTAGGCTTATTTCTAAAAGTTTTTGCGTGATCGCGAACTGCACTAACGCACACACATCCTAACATAGGCCGAGATCTTTTTTGTTCAACAAACCCAAGTGTGAAAATCACATTATTATTATTACCCGAACTTTTAATACCGTCGTATATATGTATTTGTTCCTTGAGTGACCGAAGAGAGAAAATACTCATCTCAACGCCCCCGAACTGGTTGGTATTTTTTCTGAAATGTATTTAAAAACGGGACAAAAAAATGATAAAACAAAGTCCTTACCCAACACGACCAATTTTTTTTTGGTATTCGGTTAACCTTGGGATAAATTTTTGGGAGGGATTTATTTGAAGAATCTGAATAAATAACAGTGTTTTTTATATATATATTAACAAAATTATTATTCCAATTAGCGATCAAGCTTGTGGAAGATTTTGTTGTAAATATCTATCCACCAACAAATCAAAATTCATCCACACACACATTCCGTTCTGACAAAAATAAAGGCGCGCACACTACTAAAATAAAACTGTTCCATATTGTCTTGGTATGTCCAGGGAAAATTCAAACAAACTTGCCTTTTCCATCTCCGAAAATACCAAAAATTTGCATAAAGCCGCCGACTAATAAAACAAAATTATTATTCCAATTAGCGATCAAGCTTGTGGAAGATTTTGTTGTAAATATCTATCCACCAACAAATCAAAATTCATCCACACACACATTCCGTTCTGACAAAAATAAAGGCGCGCACACCACTAAAATAAAACTGTTCCATATTGTTTTGGTATGTCCAGGGAAAATTCAAACAAACTTGCCTTTTCCATCTCCGAAAATACCAAAAATTTCCATAAAGGGTCAATAGGTCTTCTTTTCCCCCAAGAAAGAGTTACTCGTGCTAGCACCAAAATGGTTTTAACTGATGCCCAAATTGCTCTTAACAAGTTTATACAGGTCTCAGACCGACTCAGTGAATTCGAATCTAAAATTAATACACCGTCAGCGGGCTTTCATAGCATGTTCATACTGAATATTCGACGCGAGGAAGCCCGAGATGTTTGGGACCGTCAGGGTGTCGGCTCCCTCCGTGCGATACAGAGGTATCGATGCCCAAAGCATCTACAACCAATTCTGCAGAACGGAGAATAAATTTCTGCGCCCGGTTTCTCGGATGTCTTTCGATGAGCGGTCCGCATACATCAAAAAGAAAAAACTACGTCAAGTCACCCCCAGCGCCTTCCAATGCAACTCCGACACCCAGATCAGATTCCACTCTGCAAAACTAATTTGCGACGGGGTATAGATCGGTCTTGCTGAGTACCGCCATAATTGACGTTTGTCACTTGGGTTCCAACTTCAAAGCTCGTGCTCTGATAGATTCAGGCTCTGAGGCAACCTTATGACAGAACGGCCTTAAAATCAAATTAGGTTGCCTCATTAGGTTATACAAGGTGTGAGGCTTAAGTCAGACAGTATCCACTGAATCCAAAAAGTTCTGTCAGCTTAACATTCGTTCGCCGAACCGGCTTAGCTTGCAGTTAAACACGACTGCCTATGCTCTTCCACAACTAGGGACATGTCCGATTCCGCAACATTTGCTACGGGATCTTCCCGAACTTCCACTAGCGGATCCAAAGTTTTTCGAGGGCGCACAAATAGATCTTCTGATCGGGGCCGATATACTGCCATCCATTCTCCTAATCAGTACCCGACCAAACATCTGTGGATCTCTTCTCGGTCAAGAGACAATTTTCGGATGGATCCTAACAGGACCAGTGCCTCCGTCAAGGCAAAATACGATTTCCACCTTTTATTCGCGAATTTTCCACGCGGGTGACACTTCCCTGGATTAACTTCTCACCAAATTTTGGGAGTTGGAGGATCTGCAGGTAAAAGTGGCAAAAGCATCCGATTTGACCTGTGAGGAAATTTATTCTCCGGTATGTCGTAAGCCTGTGGACCTCCAACCACATAGAGATCTTAACTCATATCCAAAGCGATCATTTTCTGAACACAGACTTTCTCGAGATCAAAACTTAAGGTACAGCCAAAACTCTACGCGTACGCTGGATAGCGACGCCACCAGTTCTGACCACAGAAGTCCCCACACAACCAAGCTGTTTGACCCAGCAGGCTGGCTCGCCCCATTTGTTGTGTGTGCCAAAATCTTTATGCAAGAGACATGGCTTTAGGAGCTAGGGTGGGACGATAAACTTTCAAATGAGCTGTGCCAAAGATGGCGAAACTATCTCAAAAGTTACTCGTTCCTAGATAAGGTTCGACTTCTGAGATGGGTTTTCTTCCGCCCAGAATTCCGCGTAGAGCATCAAGGATTCTGTGACGCCTCTCAAAAGCATACGGTGCGCCAATCTATGTACGCGTTGAGATGGGCCATATGAAGGTTGTGCACCTTCACATGGCCAAGACGTGTGTTGCGGCAGTCAAAACTGTGTCGCTCCCCAGGCTAGAGCTGTGTGGAGCTCTACTGCTATCCGAGATAGCCGAATCCGTGCTTCCAAAGATGCCGATGCTGTCATCGAAACTCCATTGTTGAACCGATTCTACGATTGTGCTGGCATGGTTAGCCAAACCAGCATGCCATTGGACAACGTGAGTGGCCAACAGGGTAACAAAGATAACCCAATCCACAGGGGCAGCTAATAGGTCGCATGTCCAATCCGAACATAATCCAGCTGATATGGCTAGTCGGGGAGTGCCCCTTCAGAAACTGCTGGATAACCCTCTTTGGTGGCACGGACCCACTTGGTTGCAAACGGCCACGGGATCAATGACTGGTGACCGAGGTAGGAAAGCGTGCCGCTAAGGCGCATGTGGCGTCTATTCCGACGGAAGATATCCTAGATCGCTTTTCCATCCATCGTTATATCCAGCGGTGTAGAGACCATCGCCGCATCCAGAGGTCCGTTTAGAGGCACAGGAACTTGCTGCCTCTGAACGGCTCATATTCATATGCACTCAGCGCAGATATTTTGCTTATGAAAATAGCTGCTTGAGTCAGAAGCGACCTGTGTCCGCGTCAAGTTCAATCCACTTCTTGAACCCCTTTCTAGATCAGTAAGGGCTAATAAGGGCGAGTGGCCGCGTAAAGGCATCCGAATGTTTGCGTTATGATGAAACGACACCCGATAATCCTCCCGTACGAATGTGCAATTTCGCGACTACTGGTAAAGTTTACGCATCTCATAACGGTAACCAGTTAGTGGTACGTCTCACCCGGTCAAGATACTGGGCTCCGAAGGGCTGCAAGGCCTGCGTCACCCACAAGAAGAGATTGCAAGAGAGATGTCCAGATGATGGGAAATTTTCCGAAAGAGCGAGTATTCCCGGCCATTCACGTCCACAGGGATTGACTTACAGAATAACACTGGAACAGCTTGTCTCATCACAAAAGGGTATGTGTTGATTTTTGTCTGTTTCTCTACAAAGGCCATCCATCTAGAGCATTCATCAGATTTGACGACCGAGAAATTCCTTGTTGCTCTCGCTCGGTTCGTATCCAGAAGAGGGTGTCCTCTTTTTTTTACAAGCCGTAAAAGAATCTGTGACTTATGTGTATAGTCATTAGCAGCTCAACCACATATGGGACGCCTATGAGAAGCGAGTATCAAGAGCTTCAAGACCTTGTTTTACAAGTCCAGCCCTACGCGGAAGTACACCTTAGAAAAGCTGTCCACCCTCCTAGCAAAAACCGAAGCTTGTCTAAATTCCAGACCGCTATTTCATTCTGAACCAGTGGTCTCTAAAGTCTCTCCATCAACAATTCCGCGCTCGATGGAAGGGTGAGTATCTAAAAGAGCTTCACAAGCGCAACAAGTGGCAATTTCCCACGGAAAATCTCCGCGACGGTGACATGGTCGTCATCAAGGACGACAATCTGCCCTCGAAAGAGTGGCGACTAGGTAGAATCGACTTCGTCTTTCCAGAAGCTGAATACAACTTCCGCGTAATCGACATTCGAACGGAACGTAGCGTTGTCCGGCGTCCAGTAACTAAGGTTGTTCACCTACCGGGACAGCCTTCCACATCTACTACTTAGTATTTTATATTCTGCTATCCATCGACAATTAGCACGCACCACTCCAGTATAAAACATCTCCATTTGTTTCTTCTTTTTCCATGATTCATTCTCAGCTTTATTAAAAATGGCCCCACGACAACGCAGCGACCAAGCATTGTTGAGCAGACGTACTCGAGGTAAGCAGACCTACCGATGCCGAGTCTGCCGGGGAATTCATCCTCTGAAAAGGTGTCAGAGGTTCCGAAAGCTGAGCGCGGAGAAGCGGCTCCGGGCGGTGCTTACCAATAAGTACTGCTCGAATTGCCTCGACCATGAGCATTCGCAAGGAAACTGTCGTAGGTTTCCAACTGGAGTCACCACACTCTGCTTCCCATGACAGAGCCTCCCAGCGCCCAGCGGTGTTCCGCTTCTCGGCAGCGCTCGCGACGGCAAGATCCGCCAACTCGCAGAGCGCTCGCCTCGACACCGGGTCCATCGCTTTTTGTTTTACGGCACAGTGTACACGTCCTGCCGACAGCTATGGTCAAGCTGGATACCGGGCCGCCCTTATCGACCCGTGCACCCCGTCCACCTTTCGATTGCCGACAACCAGTGTCGGTGACGAGAGGATCTGCTCGGCAACGATTCGGTCGAAGGTCTATGAAGGGACCAAGTTGGAGGTGGTCCTGAAGATTGACCCAAACGTCCGCATCCGCACCCCGATCCGACCGCTCCCCGAAACTATCGTCGACAAAATTTAAGGATCTCCCACTTGCCGATAAGCGGCTCTTCTTGCGAGGACCAAGAACGTTGCAACGCCAGTGGTTGCATGGGGGCGGAATGTTTTGGCAACGAAACGGGGTTTATGATCCGCTCTCCCTCTCGTCCATGCTCGCTTCCAGTGTTCCAGTGTTTCAGCCCCCACAGCGAGCCGCCGCAAGCTGCCTTCAGCAGGAGTTGACCCCCAACGATGTCTGCAGATGTAATTTAAATTTATAAAATTCGAGCCACCAGTTTATTAAATTACACGAAATACTGCTTTAATAGAAATATATAAGAAATAGTTTTTTTCAGCACTCGTATTTTTGCTTAAGTTTACATATCGTAAAACGGGACCTGCCAATACATTATGGCTCCATTTTTTAAATACGTGTAGACCTCGGATATGCTCCCAACCTATGACGGTAATTAGGTCTTCCTTTTCTAAACATTTCTGTATTATAGATTTAATGATTTTGTGATAGTTAGCGAGAAAACTCTCAAATTAAACCGCCCCAGTTCCAAATTCCACTAATTCATCAACTCATCTGAGCTAGATGGACAGACATACAAACTTAAGCATTCATTATAGTTAAAACGACAATTGTGAGAAGAATTTGTAAATGTTTATAATATAAAAACCTTAAAATGTACTTTAAAATAAGGATAAGAGTAAGAATATATCGATGGACTAAAGAATTAAGGTACAAATATTTTTCTGCGGAAATGCGTGTGTTTGTGCCTAACCGAAGTAGACACTTCCGGGTCACACCGCGGGACAAGGGGGTAATGAGCACTTGTCGCTGGCACGGGGACGCTTTGCTGGCAAGACGATCGCGTCGCGGCAACGGTAACGATGGTTACTGCGATGCCGGACCACAGGCGATGCTGAACTGCGCTGAGGTAGAGCTAACGTGGTTAGCTGCTAGTTGAGATAGTGTATTACGAGCCCTATTCCCAGATGTAGGAAGTAAAACCGCGGAGTTATGAGGTGTGTTGATAACTGTTTTATTCTTCATTTGGAACATGTTTATATACTACTTGGAACACGGAAGCATGGTGTAATGAGTAGAGAAATAAGCTATATTCAAAAGTAGGTCAGGAAATTATGATTATGGTGCAGTTGGCTCAGCTAAAACTGCAACATGTGCTGATTTCATTGGCGCGTCAGTGTGCCGTTGAGTCGGTGAGACAGTGAGTCATATGCAGTGGGTGCTACTACACGCCTGGTACTGACACTGCAACATGTGCTGACTGCATTGGCGGGTCAGTGAGCCGTTGAGTCGGTGAGTTAGTCTGCAGTGAGTGCTACTGAGCGCCTGGTACTGTTCCCAACTTGGCTACTGCTTTATTTGTTGGGTGTGGTCATGTTGAGCACCTTTGGGTACGAACATTCTCCCCCCCATTGAGGGGTACCCTCAATTAAGTCGTGATGTCGGTCAGTTTTTAGCCGAATTGTATAGGAAACACCTAACAAATCAATGACCGAGGTGGATCCCTTCTTCCACTGCGGCGGTTCATGTTTGTGATTCAGGTCACTCATACCTTCTTGATGCTGCTTAACACTCCCCGTTGCGATAAAATTTACTTTACCGTGGGGACTGAAATTGTGCCCTCGTAGAAAAGTTGAACACAAGTCAGGCTTCTTATTGGTTTTAAGTTGATGGGAAGTCGGCTCTGTATCAATTAGTTTTTCTTTTGTAGTATAAAGTGCTGCAATTAACTATTATGTATAGCGGTTAATCCTCGATCGGACGAGTCAGTGTCGCTGGTTCTTGATTGGCTACATACAGTGGTGCTCATAGACTTAAGCCACTGACACTACCATAAACTGTTTTCTTAATAACTTTTTTGAACATATTTATTTCGGCCTGAAATTTTTGCATTTTGCAACACTGTTATTTAAGCATCTGATCACAGTAAAAAATGACAAGTAGGTATTCGTATTTTCCAAAAAATTGATTGTCAAAAAGGAGTATTGTGCTCTGCTCATATACTTAAGCCACCTTGAGCTAAAATCGTCAAACTTGTGTTTTTTCCGGAAAAGTTGTGCTAGTTATTTTCTAAACTAAAGTATTGAATACTAAATACGTTTCCGAAAACAATTTGACCGCTATGGCTAAAAATAAGAATTCAAATTCGGCCGAAAGAAAAACACAAATATTCTACAAATTTGTAAGACTTTACATTTTTCGCGTGGCCAAGTCAGAAATGCGATTGCATTTTATAAGAAACATGGATCCTGGGAAAGTGTTCCACGTGAAAAGCCCAGAAAACGACGATAGACGGATTTCCAAAATCAGTAAAGCCGATCTGTTCTAGACTTGGACGCAAATCAGGGGTCAAATGGTGGCAGATTATGGCGTGAATGTGTCAACTCAGACCATAAGAAGACGGCTAAATGAATTTGGGTTATATGGACGCATTGCCTAAAAAAACCATTGCTGTCAATTAAAAATGTTAAAAAGCGCCTTCAATTCGCCAGAGAGCATATTCAAAAAGGTCCCAATTTTCGGAACATGATTGTTTGGAGAGACGAATGCAAGTTTAATGTCTTTGGGAGTGATGGTAAACCATTTGTACGACGTTCTCCCAACAAACAATTGGACCCCAAATACACGAAGAAGACTATTAAACATGGTGGGGCTTCGATTATGGTCTGGGGCTGTTTCACCGCATCGGGCGTAGGTCCCCTAGGGAAGATAGAAGGCATTATGAACGGCGAAATGGACAGGGACATCCTTGTTAACAATTTATCTGGAGAATATGCCGATAATTTGCCACTTGCCTGGATATTTCAACAGGAGAACGACCCGAAACACACCAGCAAAATAGTCAAGTCGTGGCTTAATCTATGTTTTGCAATGGCCACCGCAGAGCCCCGACTTTAACCCTATAGAGAACTTGTGGGGAATTGTTAAACAAGTCGTTGGCCAAAAAAAACCAGCAAATAAAAACGATTTGTGGCGAGTTTTGCAAGAAGAGTGGAAGAAAATCACCCATCAACAGTGCGCACGTCTTGTGGACTCAGTGCCAAAGCGTTGCTCCGCTCTTCTTAAGCAGAAAGGTCATCCTACTCAATATTGAAGTAAATTTATTAAAAGTATAAGGAATATTGGAAAAATTTTAACTTTTTCAACCAATATGTTCCAGTTGGCTTAAGTATGTGAGCAGGACATTTTGGAGATGGTCTCAGATTTTTTAAGTTTTTCGTTGAATATATATTTTTATAACTTGGTTATTCTTCTATTAGAACACTGATATATAGAACTAATGTGACACAAACAATTGGAGCTGTGAAATAAAAACTTTTCTTAATTTTCGTTTAAATTTTTGGTTGAAGTCTTGTGGCTTAAGTATATGAGCACCACTGTATATCTTCAGGTTCCCTTATTTTATGATCCATCAATGCTAAGTTTGTTAAATGAATCCTTTCCTAGGCGCATAAGCAGCATTCGGTCGGGCAAGATCATCTCTGTTTTCTATTAGATTAGGGTTGATTTCCGTATCAGATGAGGTTTCTTTATTGAGATAACCTGTGATTACATAACCAAGCCTTGTGCCTTGTGCCAAAGGTTTATTAGGTCCTAGTTCAAGACGTTCGCCGGTAATTACACGAGAATACACCTCAACCCCTAAGGTTAGGTCAATGGGTCCAGGTTGCCGAAAGTAAGGATCTGCTAACGGCAGCCCCCCGGGAATATTAAGATCGGTATCAATCGGTACTGACGGTTGGTCTGTAATGACTGTGGGAATAATAAACACCTCTATTAGTCTTTCAAACCCTGATGTAACTGATGAGAGCTTTAGTATTGATCTAATTGCTGTTGATATCTTTCCTCCGTTTCCAGATATTTCAATCGGTGACCTTTCCTTAAGAGATAGCAGATCTGCCATTCTCCTTGAGATAAGATTCACCTGTGATCCACCATATATTACAGCGCGACATGTTTGTAATTGACCGTTTGGTCCTTGTAATGAGACCTTGGCGGTCGCGAGCAGAGTATATCCTCCTACGTGGTCGTAGCCTGCAATGGTTACTGCGCCGGCCACTGGATTGCTATTCGGTCCTTGGTGTAACAGTGAATGATGCCGTTGCTGGCAGACTCGACAAGTGGTCGGTGATCCACAGTTTTCAACCTTATGAGCTGTAGACAAACAATTTGTGCATGCTCCTACTTGAATAATGGCTTGACGCCGTGCTTTGGGGTCCATGTGCTAGATACGGCTACATGCTCTAAGATTATGTTGTCCTAGGTGACAAATCTTACAGCTCCCTTCTTTGTAAACTGACTGATGGCGGAGTGTTGCTGTAGGCTGAGCGCTTATCGTCTCCAGCATGCAAGCGCGCCGCTCAATAATCGTCAGTACACTCCATAACGTTGGAATTTCCGTTGGTGCATCCGCTGAATTTTCTAGAGCAGCTAGAGACTGCTGGTCTAGTTTTCTTCTGATAAGAAAACACAGGATTGGATCCCAGGATTTTGTGCTGATATCGAGGTTTTTAAGAGTACTCATTGAGTTTTTTATAGTGTCATGTAAGGCCCTTAGTTGGCGCGAGGAGCCGACTATAGGCTTATGGTCAATAATTGTTGCAATGGCGGCGAATACTAGTATTTTTCCGTTCTGGTGCCTGGCCTTTAAACGTAACCAGGTGTCGTCATAGCCACCCTGTGAGAAGGCTGTGTCTGTCAAGACGTTTATCGCTTCACCACGAAGCGAACTCTGTAGAATATGTAGTTTTTGACTGGCCGAATGTGGTTTATTATGTACCAATTCCACAAAGAGATCATGGAACCGTGGCCAGTCTAGATACTCGCCGTTGAACTCCGGAATGCTAATTGGCGGAAGTGCCAAGTTTAGGCTCATTGGCGAGTCGTTTTCTCGAAGCAGTTTCATTTCGTATTCCTCGTATAATGTGTGGAATTGAGCTAGCTCTGCTTCTGCCAGGGCTGCGGCCCCAGGTGTGCTGTCCAATTCGTCGTGGGCATGCCTCAGCAACGCCCATTGGAGATCCAGGTGCCTTTGTAGGGCTGGGGTTACGGTTGGGGCGTTCGAGGCTAATGTTAATGATGACTCCAAATCGTTGCATCTTCTCTGCAACTGTCGGATCTCCGTGTCAATTGTGGAATCTCCTTTGACTTGATCTCTTGTTGTGATCTTGATGTTGGCCGAAGTTCGTCTCGGGGCCTTCGGAAGCCCGCTTCCAGTCGGCATGTTGTCCAGAAAGATATTCTGATATTTTTCGACCAGCTCCTTAAGTGCTACTAATCGTGAAGAGTACTTATTTCCAGTGGGTAATGCCGCTTGCTGGACTTCTTCATCTAGGTCGCAAAACTGCTGCCAGAGATCGTTTAACTGGTTTAGCTTACCGGAATAATAGCCGTCTCGGCGCCGTCGGTCGGCAGAATCCTTGCCATAATTCTTGATGAGCTGTTGGATTTTCCCTTGCAGCTCGTTTTGAGTGTCTAGTAATCGATTGTGTAAATTGATTCTTGGTGGCTTGTTTCCTCAATGAATGAAGTAGACATATTGTGTGTCTTGAAAACAAAGAATCCGGTGAAGCTGGATGAAGCTGAGTATCCTGTGAAGCTGGATGAAGCTGACGTTCCTGTGACGCTGGAAGAAGAAGCGTATCGTGTGAAGCTGGATTAAGCTGAAGTTCCTGTGACGCTGGAAGAAGAAACGAATCCTGCGAAGCTGGATGAAGCTGAAGTTCCAGTGACGCTGGAAGAAGAAGCGTATCCTGTGAAGCTGGATTAAGATGAAGTTCCTGTGACGC